GAAGGAGAGAAAAGAGAGAGGCAGGAAGGGAAGGAGAGAAGGAGAAAGGAAAATGAAGGCTAATTTATTTTATATCTTATCAATCAGCTGTGGCAAAAGAATTGATGAATTTTAACTTAGACAAGACTTGCGGTCTGCCCTGTCTTCATTAGAACTGTCTCATATTATGTTCACATTTTCACTGTCCACCATTTCCATGAATAATTTAGCATAGGCTGCCTAGGTCTTTGGGAAACAAAAATATTTGAAGTTAAAAAAACCCTAACAGATGGGTAGAGCTGTTTTGAATAAACACAAGGGGAAAAAGAACTCAAAAGCTACTATACTTATATGACGAATAATTCATATTAGAGAGAAAGCAAATGCAAAAGGCCATTATGCTTATAAGTACATTTAAAAACATAATTATCACCCATAAGTACATACTAAATTAAATATTAAAAATCACATTCAGAAAACCCAAGCAGTTATGTCAAAGCATTCTAAAACTTAAAATTATTTTTCAACTATATATTTTAAAGATATACTAAGAAAGCTGGGTGTGATGTTATATGCCTATAATACCAGCCCTCCAGAGGCTGAGGTGGGGACATCTTGAGTTCAAGGTCAGTCTGGGCTACATTAACAAGTTCTAGGCCAGTCTGAGGTATAGGTCAAGACTGTCCCCAAAATGTAGAAAGTATAGTCAGAACATTTTTTAACACACATAGAGAAAAAGAGAGAGCTCAAATGAGATATCAAGTCAAAGAAAAAGAAAGAAAATGGACTGAAAGATTTAATATTCACTTTCCCCAAATTATAATCTAGACTCAGAAAAAATGTATTTACCTTTAAGGAGGTAAACTTTAAATTTTAAACATTCAGTTTATGTAAAGATGCATCTTTTAATAAAAAGATCTTTTTTATGTAACTCCAGTAGAATGAGTTAGTCAATGGCTCAAAAATGAGTACCTACCAATGATCAAGTGATATTCAGTCTGTGGAAAATCAACTGATCTATATATTAGGACCAGAAAAGGTACTCCAATGGGAAGGGCGGAAGGCAGAGCAGTTACTTGGAACAAATTCTGGTGGGTAGCCTGACTTTTATCTTGAATACAATACTTTCAGATATAATGGGCTATTGATTTAAGAACACTCAAAGGAAAGACTGCATAATAGTCAAAATGAAATTGCAAGGTACAGGTTTTGCTATGCTAGTACAATAGCCTTGTTGAGATAATATAGAGTGGGTAAAGGAGGCCAGATAGACGATATTTATCTACATTTGAACAATGTTTCAGCCCTGTGCTACGTGTATCAGCATGCTGAGAAACTGAGATGAATTGTATAAATGATGTGACAGAGGGAATTACTAGTGTCTTGTAGACTGCAAATAAAGGATTATTATTCTTTCAGATACAGAAGTACATACCAATGTATCTTGAGTTTTAATTTGCAGCTAGACTAATTATGTGAAATAAAATAAACGTAGCTTATACATTAATCATCTTCAGGTAAAGGTTAACTTGATAGAATTCAGATAATCCTCAAGAAAATACTTGGAAGCAAACAACAACAAAGAACCTAGCAAGTGCCTGACTTTTATCTACATAATCTCAGGAAACCTCATAAATAAAAAACACACCTTTTAGTTTTTAAAATTTGTACCATGTAGGTTAATCAGTTGACTTTTTCTTCAATATCTGGGAAATAACTATTCTGTTAAAAAGTTTATGTACTATTATTTTGTTTTATTTATTTTTTATTTTTTTAAAAAATTAAGATTTTATTTTTAGTTGTGTGTCTCTGTGTGTATAAGTGCATGTGAGTGCAGGTGGTCATGAAACCAGAAAAGGGCATCATATTCCCCAGAGCTGGAGTTACAGGTGGTTTTGCATTGTCTGATATGGGTGCTGGGAACTGAACTTGGGTCCCCTGCAAGAACAGTATGCTCTCTAATTGCTGATCCATCTCTCTAGCCCATTTTTTTTAATGCACAGAAAATTCAGTGAACTCAAGTAAAGATAAAGCCATATCAGCAAATATTGATAGGATTTTGCTATTTTGTTTTGTGTAATTTATTAAAGCAATAGTATTAGCAGTAAGGTCTTGTCTTAGAGACAGGACATAGCAAAGTGGACATACACTTTCAATGAGATTATTTAAAATTAAATATGACCTCAGAATAAGCTATTTAAATGGACTTAAAAGAAAAAAAGCAATTAGCCATTCATTTATTCATTCATTCATTCATTCATTCATGCAATTAATTCAAGAAATTGAGCTTCCATTATATGTGAGGCATTGCAATACTAGGTTCTCTACAGTCCTGGTATTTATGCTTTAGTTAGGATAATAGACTTGAAACGATGCAATTAAACAGGTATTATTGTAAGGCTGTGATTTTCAGGCACAATTCTCAGGTACTGAAATGGGAAAAGTACTGTATATCACATTCTAAGTACAAGGCGAGTTTATCCTAGTTAATCTAAATTCAAGAACACAAAATAATTTCAGCATAATGTTCAAGTATCTGTGTAGCTACAAAAAAATCTTAAAGTATCTTTCTAAATGAAAATTATAACCAATTTATGATAAAAGGAGATTATTAGAAACAACTTATCAATTATAATGTAAATGTAGGATTCTGAAGCATTCAAAGATTTATCTCATGAAACTAAACATTTGTATTATATTTTTTTCATAACACATTTCCCAGCAATTTCAAAATCTACAATTACTCTCATTGTTATTCTTTATAAACTGATAAAAAAATTAGGCTAAAAACTAATGTAAAAAATTTTAACCACTGTTCAGTAATAAGTACGACTTGTGATTTACAGAACTACATATTTTATAAGGGTCATTATGTTATTAGTTAGTTACACTCACCCAAATGCCATGCAACATAGCATTACTTAAATTTTTAGACTGCTTTGCATCAAAGTTGTATCTATTGGTACTACAGGCAGATCACAAGCACAAGTGTAATCAGAGAGAATGTGTTGAATTGAAAATACCAAGATGTGTATTTTATAGAGTCAAAAGATTATGAGACTGAGAATTCTCCAAGTATTCTTGCCATTGGAATTCATTCTCTCAGTATATGATGAAATTAGTTGATCTTAGGCAAGAGTTTACAGTCAGGAGAGCTTCAGGCCAAATAAGGAAAGAATAACTAAATATGTATGTGTGTAAATCATCCACCTTTAGTTTGAATGAACTTCTTGGTAGAATTCTGCAACCAAACCAAGAAACATTTCTTTTAGATTGGCACTGGGGACTTGGATTTCTTGAGGTGCTGCTGTTAGCATACTCAAACATTTAACATTCTGCTGGATCTCAGATTCTAATGGAGATGAAGAGCACATTATTTTTTTCCTAGTTCTGAGGATAAAAGGTATGTATGTGTTAAGATAAAAATTTCAACTTTCAGATTTATATAGCATACAAAGCCAAAAATTTGCACACAAGACATTATCAGTTTTTCAGCTTCTCAAAAGCTCACGAGAAACTAGTTATTCTGCTAAAGGGCATGATTACCAGTCCAAGCAAATCATTAATTCACTGAGGTATTTACTTGGGACTTGTACTTTGCTCATTAACAGTGTATGTAAAAGGGAAAATAAAAATTAGATAGGTTAGATATGTCAGATTTGTTTGCTTAATATTTAGAGGCATGGGCTAAATATTAAAAGGAAAGAATGTATCCATAAAAAATTAAGACATGAATCAAATTTCCTGTTCCCCTGCCTCCTCTTCCTTCTCCTTCTATCCTCTTTTTTTTTTTTTTTCTAGCTAGGATCTCACTCTGTAGCCCAGGCTAGCTTCAAACTTGTGGCAGTCTGTTGTCTCAGCTTTCCAGGGTGTTGAGATTAAAAGCATGAGTCACCGCACCTGTCTACACAAACTTCTTAATTTGAATTAAGGATATTCTAGCCCTTCAGATTTTACTGTTATTTCATAACAATTTTATTTATTTTTAAATATTTTATTTATTATTTTTATTTTATGTGTGTGAGTGTATTGCCCGTATGTGTATAAGTGTACCTGTGTCATGCAATGCCTGTGGAGGTCAGAAGAGGACTTCAGATCCCCTGAACTGGAGTTACAGATGATTGTTAGCCACCATGTGGGTGCTGTGGAATTGAACCTGGGTCATCTGTAAGAGGGCCATCTCTCTAGCCCCCATCATAACTTTAAAAAAAAATGCCTTGTAAACAATTTTTCTTCATCATCGCTAGAATATTTTAAAATGTACAATGCAATCCATTTCCATGACTGATTTTGATGGCTTTTTTAAATAAAAAAGATAAAATTTGGAAATAGAAAAATGAATCAGATCTACTTTATTAAGTTTAAAAAAATTATTATTACTGTGTATGCATGCATGCATGATGTGTGTGAACTGCACCCATATAGAAGTCAGAAGACAACTTTCTGGAGTTAGTTTCTTCTTCCAAACCTTTATGTGGGTTCTGGCAATCAAACTCTGGTTGCCAGGCTTTCATGGCAAGTACCTTTACCACCCTGCTGGACCCTACTTGACTAAATTTCTATTTCTCAAATTCAATCAGAGAATGCTTTCACTTTTATTTTTACATTAATTTATCAGGTGTGTGTGTGCATGTGTGTATGTGTGTATGTATGTATGTATGTGCCTGTGTAAATGAACATGTGTGCCACAGTGTTAAGTGGTAGTCAGAGGACAACTTGCACGAGTTGGTTTTCTCCTACCACCAAGTGGATACCAGGGATGGACTCAGTTCATCAGCTTGGTGGCAAGTATCCTTAACTACTGAGCCATATCAGTGGCCTCATAGGATGTTTTTAAACTAACCTTATGCTAGTAAACAATGGCAGTCAGTAAACATATAGTGTGATATTATGTCTTTAGGTTCAAGAAATGGCATGAATTCCCACGAAGGCATTAAATCATAATCTATGTTCTATCCATGAAGTACAGAGAATTGTGCTAAATAATGACTCCTGGGGGTGGGATGAGGCATATATTTTACCTTCTTCCTTTCTTCTCTTTGCTTCTTCCTCATTTCTTTCTTTGGCTTTTAATGCTTCATCAGCTTTTGCTGAAAGAAAAACAATGAAATATATGCATTTATTTTATGCACACATTGTACATGAGAACAATGAGGAAATGAAGTAGAAATTTATTATTTCTGTGAAGTTGTTAAAAGAAAAAGATATGGCAGCTGAACATTAGAAATACATATTTAAATTCTTCATTCAGAATTGATATCCAGAATACTTATTCATAATCCCCAAATCTTAGTTCAAGATACTCTCCATACAAAAAGAAAATGAGGCTCAGCAACGTAAGGTTAAATGATGACATATGAATTGGGAAACACGGTTATTAAAAGCCACCTGATTTGTTAATGTAAGATAGCTGTTTGAAAGTCTGGAGGATTCAACTTTTAAATATAAGCAGCGTGCAGTACCTATGGAACAGCATCAAATTAGGCAGAATATTCTTTTTATTTCTTTGCACATCACAGTAGAGCTTTATTCATGTTATGACAGCATTTGGTAAAAAGATTTTTTTTCCCTCTAGAAACCTCTTCCCTTATTACTTAATTATCTACTAGTTGCTCGACTGCAGGGGTTTTTCAAACACTTTACTACAGATGTTACAGAAGATTAAAAATATACAGCACAGTAACAAGGGACTATCAATATACTCTGTAAATTAATTAAATTTCTGTTCTAGCACGTCATTTATTCCAAAGCATTAACGTCTCAAAGGAGCGATTCTCCTTTATTGCCGTCTCACTGCCTGATGAGTGAACTAAGTGAAAATAAGTCTCTAACAGCATTATAGCTGATGAAATATTAAGTTAAAGAAGTATTGCCTCGTCAAAAGAAACAGAATCAGACTATGCCAGCATTAAACTTTGGATCAGCCTTCATCATGATAACAGAAATGGGAAACTCTGATTTTAAAAATAAACATACTCCAATTGTTACTGCAGATAGTTTTCTTATGCAAAATCATCACACCCTTAAGAAGCATAAACCTGGCTCACAAGAGGAATTTAAGGGAAATTCGTGTCTCATATAAAATTATTGTTCTTCAAAGTTTTATTTTCTTCACCATCAATATTGACACTTTTTTTCTCATAGTATAAAACCTACATAATGGTCTTACAAAGTGCTATATCCAATTACACAGACATCTGTTTCCATTTACAAGGTTTTATATATACGTAGACTGCATTTAAAGTCATGAAATATTAAAATTTTGGTGTCATTTTATATCATTGCAAAAATCTATTAAATTAGATAATAAAAACAAACCACTAGTAACTCTAAAGACTTTTACTTCATTTACACTTTATTCTCTCTGGTAGAAGGACAAGGATAATAGAAATTCCATTTAAATTCAATTTTGATTATATGTGTAATTGTAGATATACCCCTTGAGTCATGTAAAATGCTCAGCTTATGTTTCTTTCAAATTATCCCGCTCAGACTCACATTCTACTCCTTACAACCATCTTCAATATGTATTAGCAGAGCTCATTAGACTGAAATTTAATAATGCAAACATCAGGTGGATTTCAAGAACCTCCATTAACAACGTAAGATGGATTGCTTATATATAACTCTTGGGCCAACTGGGCACAATTTAAATTCAATAAAGTAGCCTGCCTAAATCTGATTTATCTATTTGACTATGCTGGTTTGTCTTTTCTTACTGATTTGTTGCTATACATGAACAATTCATTGGAATATTGTGTGATATGTTTTTTAAACTGTAAATGGTTCTGGTGCTATGGTTAAATATTTTATGTAATTCACTTTTATGCTGTCAATCAAGATTCTCAAGTACTTTTGTGTGTGCATGTACATAAATAAAAAATCTTGTAAATTATGTTGAAATAACATGGATAATCTTAAAATCACATATTTAAAATTTTTTTATCAGTAATCAATATGTGTCCTGCAAAGAATCTGAATGAATTCAGTTACAGAGAATAGCTACATAAATTGAACCATTAGAATAAAATCTTTTTGGATTATTAAGGGAATGTGGAAGAAATGTTCTCTCTTTTTAAACAGCTTTATGATATAATAATTTAAATATGGATATAGGCAGAACTTCTAGTCATTCATATGTAATTTAATTATCTTAAAATTTTATATTGTCCAAAAGGTAGGAATCTAATTTTACATATGAAGATAATGGACACTACTAGATGTGTTGCAGAACTTGACCCCAAAGAACATAACCAGTGAGCAGAAAGTCCTTGTCTTAGGATTTGTCATCGTCTTTGGACTTTACAGTACCAACTACTAGGAAGCACACCATGTACTTACAGGCTACTTACACCATCTACTAACTTGGTGGACAACTTCCAATCCCTTGTTAGTCCCAATTTTCAAGTCCCCTCCAGGCTTTGCTTCCTGAGTACCCAACGTGGATGCTGTGGTTTGAATGACCTCACCAAAATTCATTTTTAAATTTAATTCCCATTATGAAGTTTTAAGAAGTAGGATCCTGGGTCTCTAAAAGGTGAGGAGGTCATGCGTTAATGTGGTATCTCATGAATGGACCTGTCAGAAAAGTCAGTTCTCTTATAAATACCTCTCTTGTCATGTGATGTCCTATATTGCCTTAGAACTCTGTAGTGTCTCCACCAGCAAGAAAAACTAACCAGATGTAGTCTCTTGATTTTGTGTCTTCCAGAATTATGAGTCAAATAAACTTTAATTCTCTATATATTATTTAGTCTGTGATATGAAGTTACAGCAACACAAAGGCCAAAATACTAAACACCAAGGCAACCATTTCATTTCTATACTTATCAATACCTCCATCACCATTCCTTTGCTGTTTGAGGAGATGTTATCAACGGACCCCCCCCCATTTATAGGGAAGAACCTCCCTACAAAAGAGTACATAAATGCCATTGGCTCTACAGAAACCCAGCAATTTAGAATTACCACGCATCCTTCTATGTTGCACCTTTCATCAGTATAGTCACTGCTGGTACCGGTTCTTATTTCCTGAAACTTATTTGAGTTTTTTCATTATAAACTTCGATAATCTATCAGCAACTCTGATTCCCTGATATTAACTCAGCTTCAGTCCTATTTACCTTCAAACTCTTATGTTAGTCTAGTTTACTGCCTTTTTGTGTTGTTTCATAAAGTAAACCCATCCACTTGTGCTTTAAAAACTTGCTGGGCATGGTGGCATAGGCCTTTACCCCCAGCACTCGGGAGGCAGAGTCTGGTGGGTCTCTGTAAGTTCCAGGACAGCCTAGCCACACACCAAGCTCCAAGCCAGTGTAGGTTATATAGTGAGACCCTGTCTCAACATAACAAACCCTATTCCTTTCCATAGCTTTTAGGAGTCTTTCTTGTTCTTAAGATTCAATGCTTTCTTCTCTATTATCGAAGTATAAATACATGTAAGTCACACAAAGCCTGCATGGTGCTTAGTGTTTTTTTAACTTAGCTACTGCCTTCTTTTGTTTCCAAGAGCTCCCCCCATCAACATTTGCAGTGGTTACTGAACACTCTTTTATAGTCAAGTCCAATGGATACCTTAGTTATAGCCTGTTACAGTCTCTCCATTTTGTAAAAGCTGTCTGTGGATGTAGCTGAATGGTAGTGTATTTGCCTAGCATGAAGGAGGCTGTGGAGTCCATTCCCAGCACTGCAAATAAATGATGCTGATGAAGCAGCACCAGCTAACTACTAACTACATCTTTTTCAAAGTCCTCTCTGAATTCTTACAGTGGTTTGGCAGCTTTCTTCTACTCATTCTTTACTTCTTGGTCTTATGTTCTTGGGCAATATGTAGAAAGTCCAAATTGTTCCCTGTAAGCTTATCACAGACATACATATCTATGGCCTCTTTCCTGGCATCAGAACTATCCCTTAGCTATTTCAAAATTGTGCTCACAGTTGAACCCAAAATCTTTCCCTTAGTGTTTCCTTATTTTTACCAATCATCTAATCTCTCCAGTTGAAAGCATCTGTGTCATTTCCCTATAGTTCTTCTCCTCATGCAGTGTATCTGATTGTAGCTCTGTAAGATTGTACTCCACAGATTATCTCTACCTTCCTTTCACTCCATTCCATTTTCACAATCAACGGCCACATCCAGATCTTCATCTCTTTTCTGAATAAGACAAGACACTGTTCTATCTCTATATTTCTAATCACACTCCTTTCAATGAACCCTCCATATTACAACAAGGGCAGGGAATGTGTTCACTGCTTTATATTTCCAGAAGGAGAGTTTCTAGAGTGCAGAGAGGCTCAATAATTGCTGAGCAAATAAATATACTTTTCTAGAACCCCCAAATAATTATGTTACTCGGTGCTAAATATGCCTCCAAGGAACCCTGTCATAACAAGTACATGTGTAAATTAGTATAAATATACCAAATATAAATCCAGACAGATAGATCTAAATAGAGGCAGATAGATAGGATAGACAGATAGACAGATTGAACCAAAGTCCTCATATTCCATTTAAAGCCCTTCAGAGTCTGCTACCAAGTCCAAGTCAATATTCACTAGTCTTCCTTCCTCACCAAGGATCTGTAATCTGGCCTTCTTGGGGCATATCTTTGTTCTTGCCGGGGTGCCCATTTTGTTTTCTTGCTGAGAAAAATGGATTAAAAAACGTCAGATGAAATACCTCCCTCTCCGGTGAAAACGAAGCCTTCTCTGATCAACAACTGTCACGTTCATTTGGCAAGGAACTTCTTGTCAAGTCATCCCATGGCTAAAGTCAGAAAGGCCAAAGAACAAGGACAGGGAGGGTATCAAACTCATCTTTCTGTCAGAGGTTACTTCCAATAACTAACCCACTTCTACAATGATGGTATTAATCCATTTGTAAGGACAAGACTTTTATGACATAATTGCTTCTTAAAGATCCCATCTCCTGGAAGTTTATAACACATAACACATGACACACTCAAACTATAGCAGTTGTTTTCAAGTGGATATCATTACTCCCTCAGTTCTCTTTAGGTAATGAAATGCCTTCCTTATGGAATGTGCCACACTTTACTCCCTTCTTTGGAGGGTGTGTGTGTGTGTGTGT